TCCATATGTACGTTTTGATTTCCATGATAGCATTAACTGTGTATACAATTTCCAATAAGAAACAAAACACACCCTGTTGAGAAATTTCCATAAACAACCTAATTACAAATTCATAAGCATTAGGCTTTACCATCTTCTGCATTTGTTGGTGAATTTGGCAGTGGGGTGTATCTGTATATTTCAAGGCATTGAGGATGGGAGGAGCGTCAGATTCAGAAGCTGCCCTGATTGTGAAAACGGACATTACCGTTATTACTTGCCATCTTGGAACTTAGAGTGACAGGCTTCAAGTATTCAAGAGGCTGAGAGATGAAGTTTTATAATCATCAAAGTGACATTGATAATTCTTCTGTGATGAGGGGGAAGCTTTTGAATTTCGGCGAAGTGGAGGAGCACGTAATATTGGAAAGATGCATCAAAATCCAATTCAATGCTAAGGGGATGGAACTATTACGCGGCTGTGCTGCTGTGCTTAATAATTCTGATGACAGCTTATAACTGGAATCTTGTGCTCTTATTTCTGCTGACGTGTTTAAACGATAATATGTGTCAAAATCATACAACAGCCACACTCGATCGTACACATCGTCTTGATACCTGTGTTAATAACAGTTATTATCTCTGCAATTACAAGAGACAATTGCTATTAACTTGTTTGTTAGCTCTCATATCAAGGTACCTAAGTGGGATGGATGATCTTATCCTAAAGTTAGCTGTTAAGGGGAGAGAGAGAGAACTAGTCCACTTAAACTGTTGGAGAAGAGGAATCATAAACAATAAATAGTTCAATTCATAAGGCAGAAAGATCACACTTTTTATTAACTACTACAGTTGATGCTTTTATATAGGTGTACTAACTTGGGAAATAAGAAAATTTGACTTAGGGAGGCAGCCACTGTTAGATAAGACACTTTTGACTTAGGAAGCAAGCCAATTTAGATGGGACTCTTTTGACTTATTCTACAAATAATTAATTAAATAATTCTAAAATAACTTGAAGCATTAGTTACCACATATTACGTAATGTAACTTAATATCCCATACTATTAAATTTCCATCATAAACATCAATAGATACAAAGTTCGAGGGGGTTATGTTTAAATTTAGTCTCAGCAATATATGTAGCAAAAGGGAAAGAATATTACCTGGTAAGAATTGGGACGCGGCCAGTGCCAACGTCAATGCGGACCTGAAGAGACAGGGGAAGAGAAATGGAATAGAGAGTGTGATTCAAGGGCCTCAACTCCAAAGCAGAAATAAAAGGAATGCCTTGTCCAGTGTTAACAAGGCACACTTGTATTATGTCGATAGGAGGATGTATAATCTCGTAGTATTGGCAGAAACTTCCATTAGGGACTCGAACAGTGTCCCAAAAGTTAGAACCAAAGTAAAGGTCAAAGGAAGGAGGTTGGTTTTTGTTGTCATAATTGCCATATGCAAACACAGCTCTAATAAGATAATTGTAGTTGTTGTTATCTTTGTTTTGGCGTTGCTTTGGTTTTAGAGTGTAACAGTTTCTGTCTCCCTCCGGAAAGCTTCGTACCATTTCAAGCTGTCGTCCTTTGTATGCTTTGTCGAATTGGTATTTGAGAGCCGGCGAGATTCCATTACTGATTCCAGTTTCTATGAAGTCTTTGTCTGCTTGATACCAAATCCCTGTTGTTTCATCCACATAATCCGTGCTTGCTCCACAATCTATGCTTATCATATCTGCACATGAAGCAAATTTTAGTATCATTATTGCTCAAGTTGAGTACTTTACAAGCTGAGTCAATACTTTTATTGTGAACTGAGTAACTAACTGGCATAAAACGTTAATAAACTAAATAACCTGTTACCCCTCAGTCAGGGAAACATTTATTGTGAAAGAGATAGAGCCAACTGCTTGGTAGACATATCAGCTAATGGTGCAGCAGACAAAAGAGGCATCAAGTGGATGGCTTTGGCTAGAACTTTATCCTTCATTAGATTGCAATCAATCTAAATATTTCATGAAAAGTGGGATTGGCTGCAGTCTTTAAGGCAGATTGGTAATCATAGTAGAGCAAGCCGGTTGAGGATGTGTCCCATGCAAATCAGAAAGCAAATAAAGAAGCCATTGAATTTGGCGGTATTGGTTAAAGCCTGATATTCAGCCTTTAAGATGAGACAATAAGAAGACTGGTTAGATTAAGTGAAGTCATGAACTGCGGTGGGGTAAATTACTTGGACTTCACTTTAATTAAGTTAATAGGCTCCAGTTACTTGGTTTAATGACTCTTCTGTTAATATTGACTATATTAATGCGAACTTGGAATAAGCTTCTTTATGTTTTATAATTTGTTTGAAAACTTTAAGAGGTTATTTTTTTCAACATTTTCGAACTCATATTCAAATATATCTTTAGTATAATTGAGAATTGACTATATTTGGAGATTATAGTTGAAATTCTAAGTGGCAATCTTAGGCGGTAGATGTAGGTTAAGTGATTTGGACAGAACTATTACGGATCTTTGTTGTATTTCTCTCTTCTCTCAAGCTCAAACTTCACTAAAGATTCAAGATACTGGTAAATCTCTGCACATGGCTCTTCACGACGATGGTTTCATCATTAGTATCAAGAATTATACAGAAGCTTTTCCGCAAGGGCTTAGAGTGTTTGAGGCTTACATAAAGAATGGAACAAAACCAATTAATCAAGACTTAAGTCGAGCGAGCATCATAAAACACACACACACACACACACACACACATTGAACGAAATTGCATGTGAGTGAAAAGAAAATTGAAAAGCTGGCGAAGTGCTTGCCTGATGAATTATCACCATTGTCTGCAGCAGCCTGTGCTGATGAGTGGCAAACAATGACGAATGCAGCAAACATATACAGAGCAAGAATCCAAGGTGGTGTGCTCTTCCTCTTCATGTTTTCTAAATGAAATGTGGAGACCAAAGTCTCCTGAAATGGATAATAATTAGTACTTCTTTCAGTAGAAGCAAATGAAGGAATATAAATAATATCAAAGAAGGCTACACATTGATTAGAAAGGACCAAGTCAGAACCAAATTAGGTGAACTCATTCAATAAAAAGGCAGAACCATGTGATAACGGTAGAGCTCCAATAAATCTTGGTACATTGAACACTGGTTTGATCCACTTGATCATCAACTTGCATGCCATGGCCGTTAAATTTTGATTTCTTACTCATTATTAAATGCAAATGCAGGACCATAGAGTATAGTAGAGCTCCAAGTCTTTCTTAGATGTTATAAAGTTTTATCTCAATATGATTTGACTCTCTCATAAACGATATACAATTAATCATTTTTATTTTAAAAGCATAGTAACATGTACGATGGACTACAAAGTACTTCATGAATTGTTCGGCAAAGCAATTTGCCATCTTGACCATCTCCTTGTCTTGTCGGCAGTGAATCTGCGTACAAACTAAGAGACTAGACGAGGTTAATATTTGCATTTAAGGAGTAATCTTGGTTGTTTGACTTGTTTCATCATTCATGGAAAGGTTGACTACGTCTGCATGTTGCCCAGTTGGCATTAATTATGTCTCATCATGATCTTGGCATTTTGTTATCAAATGCAATGGAAATATGGAATTGTGAATTTTGAGGTTGGAAATTTTCTCAAGGTCTTTTCAAAAACCTCCATCAATTAATTTGGCAATGTAAAATGCATGTAACGATATGATAATAATATAAAACATTAAATTCATAACCTTCATGCAAAGCAAGTAGCGGTACTAACATTGAATAGTCTCAAACATGGACTAAGACCTCCTAGTGATGCTTTTATTTTAATGTCTATTGTATCGTATGGATTATGATTTCCTTCCGCTTTTAATTGCCATTCTTCTAATCTGCTCTTCCCCGCGTCTCCATCTTCTGGGTTCCTATTTTCCTCAAACCATCCAGAGTAGGAATCCCAAATAAACTAACATTATAAACTATCAATATTAATATGGTCAGGTTAATATGGTTGCCGTAACTATTTTTATCATTATTATGATTTGCGCTTGGTGGAGAAGTGATAAAGCATGGTATTATATTTTTAATCTACTGCTTTCTAGTTTCCTCAGTAAAAGCACAGTGTTTACCTCTGATTTTTGTCCCAACAAAAAAAAAGAGGTAAACAGAGTATCCTTGAACGTTTGTTAATATCAAAATATGCCTTAACATCAATATGTTCCCCTCTACTTGTTTTTGAGTGTTCCTAAAGCTGAACCATGCTAATCTTCATCTTCATGTTTACTTTTAGCATGGTGCGTATGAAATGTGGCCACCTGAGGCTTAATGTTTCTTTTCAATATTTTGTACAATATATGAAAAAATGTGTCTAATATATTCTTGGTAAAAGAAAATGAAAAAGACTACAAACTGCTTTGTCGGCTCGAGTCAACGATATATATACTACTATATACATGTATGGTTAACGTTATGAGCAAGGCAAAGTGAAGTGGCATGATTCCAAGAGGACCATCGTACTTGGTGTGAGAACAACGCCTAGCTGGTGAATTATATTCACCAAGCGAATTCGAAACAATGAATTTGCACGGGTCAAGTTAACGTCGTCTTTGAGTAGGGCAAAAACGCGTTGGAATTAGGACTTTTGGAATGGGAGTTGAAAAAACTCGTAACGACCCAAGCAACGAGACTAGCACATAATTCACTCTTGTACAATTGGAAATGGTCGTCCTTCAGAGCGCAATTTGTACGCTATTAGCTCCATCCACAAGGACGATGCAGATTTTTTGGCTTGGAAGATTAACAACAGTATTATTATTATTTTGTTTGGTCAACTGAAAGTAAATATATATAGGACCCGTTTTTGGCTTGCTTTTTCCATGCATTTGCACCATTGACTTTGTTCAATACCTATAATCTTCTATATATGTTTTTATCTTTCTATAAAGAGAACATAAGTAGTAACAAATGATCCAGAATTAGCTTCCACAGGCAGACAGAAAGCAACGGATCTCATGGAAAGGGCGCCAAAGATGAATCTGTGCTTAGGCTTATGTCTTGTTCTCATCCAACTGCTCCTTCATGTTGGCAACACGATGGGAGATGGTGGGAAACTGACCACCAATGATGACACCAATCCTGGTAAGCTACCTAATGTGCTTTGCATAGTGATTATTTCAGTGAAGTTATATTCACATGCCTTCATCTAATATCTGATTTTTAAAACTAATCCTGCGTTAGGATTCATAAGCATTGATTGTGGAGCCGCTCATGATTACGTAGACAAGGACACGGGCATATGGTATCAGACAGATACAAACTTTGTAGAAACCGGTACAAATTCTACTGTTCTCCCAACTATTAACTTTGATTATCCTTATTTTGGAGGACTTCTAAACACGTTGAGAAGCTTCCCAGAAGGAAAAATGAATTGCTATACCCTCAAACCAAAACAAGGCAAGAACCATACTTATCTTATCAGAGCTTACTTTGCTTACGGCAATTATGATGGTAAAAATCAAACTCCAACCTTCGACTTGTACCTTGGCGTCAATCATTGGGACACTGTTTATGTTAGAAATAACAATGATTATCACATTACTGAGATTATTCATACGCCTACAACGAACACAATACATGTGTGCCTTGTAAAAACTGTTGTGGGAGTACCTTTCATTTCTGCATTGGAGCTTCGACCTCTCAGCGATGCTATTTATCAAACATCCTCACCTTCTCAATCACTTTTGATCAATCGAAGAAGATTTGATTTTGCCTCCACTAGTTCCGCCAGACACAGCAGGTGACTCCCCATTTTCTTCCTTGCTATTCTCTTTCTGTTTGTACGTTATTTTGACGATGTCAAAACTTGTTTCTTGTTTGTTTGTTTGTTTGTTTTTTTTAAATTATATTTGATATTTTTGTTCTTTTACAAATACTAAAGCAGGATCACTTATCATGGATAGGTCCAATAAGTATTTATGAATTATGACGTCAGATCAAGTTAATGAGTTCAGTAGTAGTAGAACTAATTAGTTTGGGGAAAAATTTTCTCCCTCTGCAATTCGCAGCATCAAGCAATAAACTTTGCTGCTTTTCACGCGTGTAGCGTATAACTATTATAAGTGGAGGAATTCCATGCGAGCGAATAACTAGAGATTCACAACTAGGCTTCTCAAATGATGCAGAAGGACATTATCTTCCATTTGGTTTTTCCTTTTAACCCTTTGCTTCTATAATATTTCACAAATTCATACTCCTTCAATTTCATTTATATATTTTGGTGGTTCCTATGTGTCGTTTTCCTGAAGAACTACATATTTACAACACAAGCATTATGAATGATGCAAGTGCAGGTACAAGGATGACATCTATGATCGCATCTGGTTCAAATTCAGTTATACGTACTGGATCAATGGTGATATAGATAGTGATCCTGCAAGCACAAACGGTTCTTATAAATTACCAACGGAAGTACTGAAATCTGCAGGCCAATCATTTAATCTGTCCTACCCAATAGTGTTTGACTATGACTTTGCAATGATAGACCTTGACAGGTCGTCCGATTATTATGTCTACTTTCATTTCTTAGAAATTCAGAAGCTTCCCCAGGGGCAAAAAGAGTAATCAATATTACTCTTGATGGTGAGAACATTTTGCAGCCTATAATTCTTGAATACTTGAAGCCACAAACCATTGTTCCTCAAAATACAGTTCCAGGCAATGTTCGTTTTAATATTAGTGCAGCGTCAGAGTCTGATGCTCCTCCAATCCTCAATGCTTTTGAGGTTTATCAACTGATATCGCCAATACCATCCCCAACTGACGAAAGAGATGGTACAGAATGCTTTTATTCCTCGTTCAATTGTATCCTGAAGTTCCAATAATCATGCGTTTGTTTGGGAATTGACCTTTGAGACCTCAAATTGGTAATATTAATTAATGCTATCATGGACATCAAAGATACGTACAAGATCTCTAACAAAGATTGGCGAGGAGACCCATGTGTGCCGAAACTTGCTTGGGATGGACTAAACTGCGGTTCCCGTGCCAATGGTAACAAGGCAAGCATCATCTCAGTGCAAGTCATTTACCTCTCAATTATGCACTTTCCTAGTTTATCTGAAATTATACTTTTAACGGCTTCTTAGTTTGATACTCAAACGTGAAATTTATGCAGTCAAGCACCCAAGAATACTAACTGTTAAGCTATAAATGCCAAAAGTTCATATATCACTTTCTTTTAATTGACATCAAAGTTTATAACCAAGCATCTCTCAAGCAGGAACCTAAGCGCGACCAAATTGGCAGGGCAAATAACTACCTCATTTTTACAACTTACAGAGTTAGAATCCTTGTAAGTCTGGTGTATACTGATTTATGACAAAGTGGAAAAGTTTCATTAACATGAAAAATCCATTGCTTTGTTTTAGAGATTTGTCATTTAATGACTTGTTGGGATCAGTACCTGAATTTTTAGCTGACCTACCAAAATTGAGAATCCTGTAAGTTTTAAATTATTTATGACTCCTTTAGAGAGTAGTATCTTATTTAATTACTTTTAGCTCGCCCATTAAGTGAATATATTTCACAATGCTTTTACTGTAACTTGACTGGCAACAAGCTTACAGGTTCCGTTCCCAAGGCTCTTGAGGAAAAGGCAAATTTGCAAATAAGGTTTCTCATTTTTGTATAATGCTGCTTGTTCATTGATGACTACCCTTATGTGAATCAAAATTAACACTGAGACAACTTGTCCCATAGTTTGGAGGATAATCCTGGACTTTGCCTGGTGGATTCATGCAAAAAGCAGAACTTTGTCATTCCACTTGTTGCTTCTGTTTCTGCTTTAGTTGCAAGCCTCTTGGTCTGTCTCAGAATATGGATCTTCAAAACCAAGAAGTTGAAAGGTATATATAGAAATATGCTCGTCACTTGTTGTGGTTAAGCATTACAGTATGTTCATTATCAATTTCCTTATATAGTCCTACTCTGTTTTTTGCTACAACTCTCAATGTCTATAGCCCTAAAATAGTTATCTAATTCATTTATTATATCATTATGAATTAGTGCGGAAATATTTGAGATTTCATGGCCAAGTTTTTGGCATTCTTTCTCTTCATATAATTTCCTAGCAATCTTTTTTCTCCCAGTTATCTAGATGACAGCTTAGTTCTAATTATTTTTTCTAATATTGCAGTGCATTTCTCTATTTCTACACATGAAGAATCGTTACAACTAAAAACCAAGGCAGTTTCATACTCTGTAATACTTAGAATCACTGATAATTTGAAAAACTTAATTGGAGAAGGAGGATTTGGAAAGGTCTATTATGGCAATCTGGAGAATAACGTTCATGTTGCTGTGAAGTTACTTTCCCAATCATCAATGCAAGGTTTCAGAGAATTTCGATCAGAGGTTAGGATCAATCAAGCCAAACTCTAAGTTTTCCTTTTTGGGTAATATAATGGAATTTCTATTACCGTGTGGCATCAATAAAAATTAATATAATGAATATCAGTTCATTCTTAAACACTAAATAAAGTTCAATTTCGATTGCAGGTAGAACTCTTAATGGTTATTCATCATAGACACTTGGTTCGTCTGATTGGATACTGTGAAGAAGGTGCTGTGAGGGCATTAATTTATGAATATATGGCTAATGGCAATCTTCAACAACATTTATCAAGTATGTAGCCAATTGCCTAGAATTGCTTATATTTAGTCCCGAATTGACAACTTTAAAAGGAAAGTTAAAAATTTATTTATATTCATCATGCAGAAGAGAACCTTAATGTTTTGAAATGGAATGAGAGGCTTCAAATTGCATTGGATGCTGCACTTGGTAGGGGAAACCCTTTTTTCTGCACGATATGTTTGCCATCATATTGGTTTTAATAGGATATAATATACTTGACTGCTATATGGAAATGTAGGATTGGATTATTTGCATAATGGTTGCAAGCCACCAGTAGTTCATAGAGACTTAAAGACATCCAACATTTTACTAGATGAAAACATGCAAGCCAAGATTTCTGACTTTGGATTATCTCGAGCTTTTGCAAATGATGTTGATAGTCATGTAACAACTTGTCCTGCTGGCACACCGAGTTATCTTGATCCTGAGTAAGTCATTTTAACAAACAAACATGATAACTTGCAATCTACCCTCATGTTATTTGGCTTGAAATTAGTTTGCCCTGCTTGAACATTTGGTTTCTCAATAATTAGATTCCTTGAGTGCCAATTTGCATGTAAGATTGCTCACTCAAAGCTCAAAATATGTCCAAATTAATTAAAAAGTGGAATGATTGTTTAAAACAAGTATTTTTGTCATGATATCTAACAATTGGTTATTTTCACAGATTCCAAAGTTCTGGAAACTTGACCAAAAAGAGTGATGTTTATAGCTTTGGAATAATTTTTCTTGAGCTCGTCACAGGTCAACCCGTATTAAGAAGAGAACTTGGCACAGTTCATTACGTTCTTACTTGGGTTACCCCTAAACTTGAAATGGGGGATATCCAATCTATCATAGATCCAAAGTTAGAAGGAAATACAGCACTAATTCAGCTTGGAAATTATTAGAGATAGCTATGTGTTGCACTACAGCATCTGGAGTTGAAAGGCCTGACATAAGCCATGTAGTAGCTGAACTAAAGGAATGTTTGGCTCTGACCAAAAGTATAGGCTGGAATTCAACCAGTGATCTGGAAACGGCTTCTCTGGGGTCTGATTCAGGGCTTATCCCTTATGCTCGGTAGAATTATTTGAGATTACTCTCTCTCCAAACTGGTGAAGCTGTCTACCACGATCACATTATCAGCTCGTTCAAAGTTGAACGACATGTCGTATTTGTATTGTTAGTGTGCTTGGGTCAAACAGTGGTTCTTCTTCTTACAGCTGCTGGTGGCTCCGTGCTTTGTCTTTCTGTTCAGTACTGATCTTTTCTGTGTTTCTCTATTCTGTATTTATGAACAACTTATTGGGTTATAACCATTATCAGTAAATTTGGTTCATCCTTAAACAACTTGTCAATCTCTCTCTCTTTTTTTTTGCCCCCAAAAAAAAGCAAACAAACAAAGCATTCCTTCGCGTCCGGGTTGTTAGATACCCAAATTAAACACTCGCCACAAGCTACCGAGTCAATAGTTGGCAGCGATCTAATTAGTTCTTATCAAAGCATTTCCTAGTTTTTACTACCTCTGATGATCCTTAGTATAAAAACTATTTTGACATTTTTTTGACTTAAAATATAAGATCCCAATTTACTTTATTTATCATATTTATTTATTTTTTTAAGGTAGTCTTGCAGTAGTTGCACATGTTAAAGATTTTATTAAAGAGTAGTCATAACTAATATACATGATTATCAAGGCTATTTTAGGAAAGACAACACATATTTATTACAAATGACTAACTTAACTAATTTTCTTAATCTACTCAAATTAATTAACTAACTCTTGTATTAAAAACCGGAAGTAATATTATTAAAAAAGTATTCTATAGGCTACATCTTAATGGATCTTAACACGTTTTTTAAAATTTCATACAGCTTCCCTCAAACTTTACCCTTCAGTTTCTCTATTGGTGAGATATTCAAGAATCCAAATAAAATTTCATTATCAGATTAAAGAGAAATGAAATGGAGCTGCTAGAATATTTGCCCTTCAATTTCTCCCTTCAAGGAATAGGGTTAATACAAATTTTGGTCTTCTAAATTTGAGCCAATTTTAATAATGGTCCCCGAAATTTAAAATGCATGGGATTGGTCCCTAAAATTTAGCCGTCACAAACCGTTGGTCCCTAGTTCCCTTACACTGTTAACTTTGTTTGAGATGGCACTAACATAGTTAACATGATGAGGTGGTCACATAAACTGACACAGATATGTATCTTGTCTGGAAAAAAGAAAAGAATAAAATAAATAAATAAATGGGTTTAATTAAAAAACACACTGACGGGGAAGCAGAGGGGTAATTACGGATGGAGGGAGGTAAGAAAGGGCAAAGGCTAGAAAGGTTTAGCGAAGACACTCTGGCGAAGGCAAGAAAGGTCTGGGAGATCAATGTTCACTGTCCTCGCTTCTCTTCTATTATTTCTCGGATGAAAAGTACAATAAAATTTTAAATCATCATCATCAGTCACATATACTACTATATATTTTGATCATATATTTTTGAAACAGAGATCACTACCTGAAGTTAGTGGCTGAACTCTCATGTGGGCCAGTTTCTATGTCTGTGGGATGCCCCTACCGCGCAGAGCTATTGGAACCATCAATTAATTGGTATCTTTCATTGGGAAGCACCATCCATCCCAATTAGATGTGTGTGTGTGATCTCCAGAGTTGTGAGAAATCATGAATTGATGGAGTTATGTAGTTAAAAAAGAAAATTATTAATAATATGTAGAGAGAGAGGGTACGTACTATCAGGTGCTTCAGAAAACGTTACATAAGCTGGCAAGAAGCTGAAGACAAGTAAGGTTCCTATCATTCTGCTTCATTTAACTAGTCTTCTCCCATTCGTTTTGCTAATTATCCAACAAGCTACATTTGCATTAAAGTAGAATATATGTATATATATCATCTTTGTATCAAAGTAGAATATGTGTGTGTATATGTAGTGTATTAGGCAATCTTTGAATTGAAGTACAAACCAAAATGTTGGCCATTGATACTAGCATGAAGAATGGCCATTAATACTAGCTTTTAGTTGGATATCATGAATTTTAATAATGTCCCAACAGTATCATAGTTGGATATGATGAGTTTTAGTTGCATATAATAATAGTTGGCAAGGCATAATCGATGGAGTACACATTATAAAGTGGAATCGGCACCTGTCAACAAGGGGTTTTTTTTTTTGACATGGCATAAAAGTTGCAAGTTAAAAAAACATTAATAATTTACTTATTTTATTCCAAGGTCTAATAAGCAAAGCATATGGCATGCTTTGAAGATGAATCCATCATAAGCAAACTTGATTCCTAGGCACCATTCTCTCAGCCACGCAGAAAATCTACTACTTTTTTTCTCAAAATAAAATATGCAACTTGGGTACCGAAATTGTATTTTTCTTTTTTTTGGGCAAAAAGAAGAGTATTATTGCAAAGTTGCTGCCTCGGGTGAATCAGTGGGAGAGATGAACAACGTATTTGGTGATGGTAAGCGCCCTTTTCTTTGTTTTTTTTACTTTGAGTTTCGTTTCAATTTCCCCTTTCTTTAGCTTTTATATCCATATCCACGTCATCAAGCCACATATGTGCTAGCATATGGGTCGACCTTATCACGTTAACGGTGTTAGTGCCATATGGTGTGAAGGTACTAGGGACCAACATTTTGTAATAGCCAAAATTTCAAAGACTAGTACCATCCATTTGAAATTCTAGAAACTAATACGAAAATTGGCTCAAATGGATTAAAATTTATATTAACTCGAAGGAATATTACAAACTTTTGCTCTATCAATATGCTTTATCTCTTGCTTCATTTTGCTCTCTTTTTGTTTTGTCATCTTCTCCTCTTTTCTTCCAGTACAATAGGCCTTCGTTTTGTGTAAACTTTCAAATTGAATATTCATCATGCCTCATTTTGAGTTAAATTGAATTATTACGGGCTCCATGTGAATGTTTTTCGTGCTCGTAATTGGGCCCAGAGATAGATGTTATCTTGGCACGTCCATGAATATGACGTTTAGCTAACGTTTTGATGAGCCCAATTTATAACATGCATTATGTCAATAAGCACATCCAGTAAATTGGAACAAAATTTCTCTCCCATATTTATATATTATATTTATTTTGTAGTGCAAATTATATTATAAAATGGGTTTTATATTTAGGACCAGACCCATTTTGTAGTATAATTTGCACTACAGAATAGGTTTTATGTTTAGAATCAGAAGAGTATTTCATAAATTATTATTAAAAAAACTATTTATAAACTATTTATAAACCATTTCAAACAAGCGCATTATTCTTCAGCATTTCTGCTTAGAGCCTACAGCACATGTAAAAACTTTGCTAGTAATTCTTTTACTTTTTGTTCCTAGGTAAAAGCGTAAATGCTGGTTAGGAAAAAAAAAAGAGTGTAAATATTTTATGATAAGTCGGGGAGGAGGACGACTTTGCTCGTCAATTAACTTCGGAGTGATAAACACAACTTAAATGATCTCAGAAAGTTGCAGAAGATCAAACTTTGAATTGTCAAGTCAATTTGTCTCTCATGTTTTTTTTCACACGATCCCTTTCTCCCCACTTTCTCCAGCGCACCATGAACACGCCTGGCCTTATTCATTTTCTTTCATCACGTCAAAGTGAAACATCTAACTAGAGATGGGTAAATAGTTGTTTGAGAAAATAATAAAAAAATATCTATTAAATTTTAAAAAGATAAATAAGTTATGCCGACTAATCTTGTAATAGTTTTACTATTCGTGTAATAGTTACAAGTAAAAATCTCTCAAAATCAGCTCTTTGTTATTTTAAAATTTAATAGTTATTTTTCTGTCATTTTTCTAGTTTTCCCCCCCCCTTTCTTCGTAATTTTTTTCCCCTCGTTCTATTTAAACAAATTGCACAAGGTATCCAATAATTAGCTTTTTTTATTATAAGAATAATAGTTGCACTAGTTGTAGGCTTTACAAGTTACCAACAACATATCTCCTCATCAAGTTAGGGATAATTTAACCCACAGGCGCCGACAAATTAATAAAAGACCACAATCTCAATAAACTGAACTTTTCCGGATGAAAATTTTCGTATTAATTCAAAACCATTCATATTTATTGTATTGCATGACAAGAATAATGGAGGTAGTTTAATGTCAATAAATATCAATTAGCTTCCAAAGACTTAAAAACTTTTCAATGCATGTATAGGGACACAAGAACAAAGTTTCGAAGTTGTTCTCCATATATACTCATCCGGTCCTTAATATAAAATATATTTAACTAATTTGATTAGATTAAGGAAGTTAGGTAAGTTAGTTAATTATAAGAAAAGTGACATTTTTTTCCTAAAACACCATAATCATCTTTCTTAATACCCCCTCTCCCTTTGCTACTCGATTATGGTTGAGGGAGTATCTATAGGGGTAATTTAGAGAAAATTGATAAATATGATAAATGAGTCTTATATTTAGGATCAAAACTAACTAAAAAATTAGGTTTTATATTAAGAACCGGAGGAGTATAAGGACAAGGATCTAGGCAGATTATATGCAGACCAGAGAAAATAATCCGTGTCCACTCGATTGAAATATATAGTGGAATATTTTCATCGTCACACTTACGCTATTGAAGCTGCCCGGTGAATATTCAAGGTTGATGTAATCTCACTGGAAAATTGCAGAAAACTACAAATATCATCGGAGGAAAGCTACAGCAGTGGATTATGAAGGACCACAAAGTTGTTTCTAATGGCACTGTTTGTGGTGATCGAACAATTCGACCTCCCAGTCATGTCACCCATAAATGTTTTATTTCCTTTTTCCTTTCTATTTTTTTGGCAATAATAAAAAGGGAAGCCTAAGTTTGAACATAAAGTCCCATTTGATACAAAATATTGAAAATGAGGGATAAAAATTTTGATTGAAATTGAGAAAAATCATTAAAAAAATATTTAGTATGAATAATTTTTTATTACATGGGATTAGGGAATACCACCTCTCATGGTATTCTCCAATCTGATGTACATGGATAGGACTACCCAATCCCATATAACAAGAAATCACTTATGCTAAACACTTTTTAATATATTTTTTAGTCTCAATCTCAATTCTTACTCCTCATTTCTAACACTTACTATCTAACGGGACCTAAGAGTTTTGTTTGTTTACTCGGACCAAGTCCACCCAACGCATGGCTCACGTATGAGACAATTGTTTTCCGCTATGGTGCTCTTTAATTTGTGCGGTTTTATGTAAGAAACTATCAAACTAAAATTTTAGTTTTGAACAAATGTCTACTTTTCAATGTTAAAAAAAAATTCACTCAAATATTATCCTTTGTCCCCTGAAAATTAACAATTTCCAAGACACAGTTCAGAAAAACCAAAAATATGATTAAATTTTTTCTTAAAAAAATCCACTTTTTAAATTTACTTAGTTAAGCATTAGGGGACCATCAACCTTCTAAAGCAAGTCTTAATCATGTGGGGTGGCAGGAAAATAAAATGAGGGAGCAAGCAAATTACTGAGGACTAATTATATTGTTGGTAGGGGTAATCATCGATCTCAACAAAGGCGCGAGTAATGAAAGGATCCAAAGTGATCAGGCCTCCACTGGTCAAGTCAATTTATTTTCGTTTGTCCCATTTATTAGAAGAAAGATGCTATCTCAGCAGGCAATTAACAACTTGACAGAAAATTTGAAAGCTTCAAAACACCCAAAAAAAAAAGGTTCATTGGTTTTCTTTGATCGGCAAAAAGGAAAAAATGAGGCCCATTTCAGGTTGCCTATTCCGTTCGAGAACAAGAGACTTAACTGAATACTTATATATACGCCCACTGCCACCCTCACAAATACATTCAAAGACAGACTAATACTTTGAATCTGCGTACTGCTCGTCTTGGTTTCGATTAGCTTGGTGAGATTCTAAGCTTCCAGCGACTTCATCTCTATATTGTTCTTTTTCTACATCTTTTACTCATTTGGTTATCTTGTATATGTATCTGCATATCTAACTTCCTTGTATATGTATTTGCAGATCAGACCAAATGGAAAGGGCACCAAAGTTGAATCTGCTTTTAGGCATGTGTCTCGTTTTCATCCAACTCCTCTTTCATGGTGGCAGCACAGTGGGAGATGGGAGGAAACTCGTCACCAACGACAAGAATCCTGGTAAATTAGTTATAAATTGCATCAGGAATCCATAGCCTACCCAATATCAAGATGCTAGGTATGACTTTTTTTTTTTTTTTTCAAATCTAAATGACTGAATCATATGATGCTAAATAAATTTAGTCAAAACATGACTTATTATATGTTTATTTTGGAACAACTTTTGCGTAGGATTCATAAGCATCGATTGTGGAGCACCAAATGATTACTCAGACAAGGAAACGGGCTTATGGTATCAGACAGATACAGAATTTGTAGAAACTGGTACAAATTCTATGGTTCTCCCTTCTACCAACACTGACAATCCTCATTTTGGGGGACTTCTAAACACGTTGAGAAGCTTCCCAGAAGGAAAAAGGAATTGCTACACTCTCAAACCAAAACAAGGCAAGCGCCACACTTATCTGATTAGGGCTTACTTTTTATATGGAAATTATGATGGCAAAAATCAAACTCCAACCTTCGACTTGTACGTTGGCGTCAATTACTGGGACACTGTTGACTTGAGAAATAATAATTATTATTACATTCCTGGGATTATTCATGCCCCCACAACAGACACAATACCTGTGTGCCTTGTGAAAACTGTTGTGGGAGTACCTTTCATTTCTGCGTTGGAGCTTCGACCTCTCAGCAATTCCATTTACCAAACATCTCCACTTTCTCATCAATCTCTTTTAATCAATCGAGGAAGCTTTGATGTTGCCTCCACCAGTTCCGCCATGCTCAGCAGGTGACTCCTACTTTTCCCACGATCTCTTTATTTCTCTACGTTATTCGTTGACTCCAAACTTAGATTTTCTTTTGGTGTTACATTTGCTATATTTGTTTTCTTTTTATAAACACCGAAGCATATGACTTAATCACTATTAGTTAGATAAGCATTTATAACGTCAATTGTTCAGGAGGGGACTAAGTTTCTTAATTTCTGATTTGGAGGACCAAGCAATAAATTCTGTTGTTAGGCATGCACCGATATCATAATTTGCTATAGCTAGAGAAATCGTCCATAAATTTTTCTTTGAAATATGAAAGTCGGAAAAAATAGCATGACACCTATTGGTCTATCAGAATGAATTAGTTTTTCATAACGTGACAATCGAATGTTTAAATTCTTATAAGAGAGATGACCACATTTAGTGCTAACCATGCCTCATATATCATTGCCCCCAATAAAAAAATACACCTGAGCAATGAAAAATAGCATGACATCTATTTAAAGTTATTGGATAGTAAGGTTTGCGTTCTCTGTGGAAAGTGCAGGTACAAGGATGACATCTATGATCGAATGTGGCGGAAAATCGATTTATGATATTGGTACCAGATCAATGGGTCCGTAGATATTGATCCTTCAAGCACAAACAATTCTTATAAGTTACCCGCGGAAGTGCTGAAATCTGCAGCCCAATCATTCAATCTCTCCTATGCATTGAACTTTGCCTATGACTATGTATGGAAAGACCTCGACAGGTCCTCCAAATATTACGTCTATTTTCATTTTTGTGAAATGCAGCAGCTTCCCCCTGGCCATAAAAGAATACTGAATACTATTATTACTGTTGATGATGAATACGTTTACACCCAACCTATAGTTCTTGAATACTTGAAACCTCAAACCATTGCTCCTAAAATTAAAAATCAAGGTTTTGTTCTTTTTAACATCAGCGCGACATCAGAATCCGATGCTCCTCCAATCCTTAATGCTTTTGAGGTTTACGAGTTCGTGTCACCTCTACATTCCCCAACTGACCAAAGAGACGGTACAAATTTGTTTATTCCTTATTCAACTATTTGCAATATGTCCATGAATAATATTTTATGTTTGTTTTCATGTTTGGTTTTGACTTCTAATTAAGATCTTGCTTATTGTTCGCAGTAATAGGGGATGCTATCATAGACATTAAAAACACATACAAGATCTCCAATTTGGATTGGCAAGGAGATCCATGTGTTGCAAAACTCGCTTGGGAAAGACTAAGCTGCAGTTCTGGGATCAATGACAAAAATGCAAGAATCGTCTTAGCGTAAGTCATTTTTACATCTCCATTATTTTAGCGTCACTGGATCTATACGCATTAACCTAGTTTTGTTAATAACAAGAATCTTAATACCGGTGTAAATCTGTGAAGTATGTCACTATTATGTTCTTAACATTTGATACTCAAATGCAAAAATCATATAGTTCAATTTTACGTCATCCCAAGAGTATTATTGACTACTAATGATGTCGAAGCTCATATTAATATGAAAATTTATGACTAAGTCTTGAAAGTATGATTCACTCAAGCAGGAACCTAAGCGCGACCAAATTGGCAGGGCAAATAACAACCACATTTCACAACTCACAGAGTTAGAGTCCTTGTAAGTTTGTGTATTCGAGTGATTTAGTAAGGACCGATTCTCAGCGGGAAAGTTTCATTAATATGCAAAATATGTTGCTTTGTTTTAGAGATTTGTCATTTAATGACTTGTCGGGATCAGTACCTGAATTTTTAGCTAAACTACCCAAATTGAGAGTCCTGTAAGTTTTGAATTATGTTGTTTATGATTCATTTATAGAGTAATATCTTATTTAACTTTGAGCTCACTTATAGTGCTTTTGCAGTAACTTGACTGGCAACAAACTCACAGGTTCCATTCCCAAGGCTCTTCAGGAAAAGGCAGATTTGCAATTGAGGTTTTTCATCTTTTTATGATGCTCCTTGTTCAATTGTGATGAGCCTTATGTGAATCAAAAGTAATTAACAATAATAATACAACTCGTTTCATAGTTTGGAGGATAATCCTGGCCTTTGCCTGGTTGATTCATGCAAAAGGCAGAAGTTTGTCATTCCACTTGTTGCTTCTGTTTCTGCTTTAGTTGCAAGCCTCTTGGTTTGTCTGGCAATAGGGATCTTCAGAACCAAAAAATTAAAAGGTAGGTATAAATATATGCTTGGGTATGATTAAGCATCTGTCTTCATGCATGATCATCGTTTTTTGTCAGCGTTTTGCATTTAGTTTTGTTCTGTGTCATCAATTGGACGCCACTCTCCCCATCGGAGACCACTATATTTCTCCTTTAGTCTATACTTTGTTTTATGCTACGAGTTTATACCCACGGAGACAGCACCCACACAGACACGAAAAAGGAAGGAGAAAATTCGAACTACGACCCTCCTTCAATTATAGGGACCAATGTTTTAGATGGAAACAAACTCAAGGGATCAGAAACTATAGTTTAAAATTTGAGGAATGAAACCAAGATGAAAGTAAACTTGGAAAACAAAAAATTATATGAACCGATTATTTTATTTTAGTTTAGAGAGAAAAGAATTATATATGATAATTTTATAACGATAAATCAAAATAAAATACACTTTTATTATTAAAGAGAATTCAAATTTCAAGCTCAAGACCCAACAACAAGAAACAACCACACCATGCCACCAATGCAATGTATATAACTTTTTACGACAAATAATTAAAGTATTAGTTAAGAATAAAAAAATAAAATAATTAGTTTATATTATTCTTAAGGACATTACACAACCCATTATTTATATAAAAACTTATTTAACAAATAGTCAGTGAGTACTCATAAATGAGATCGGTTTGTTTTGTATCCTACTCTTTTGATATCTTCGTGCTTGGTGACGAGTAGGGCCAAAAAGATTGAAACAGAAGAAGCTATTACATGAAATTGGAGACATTGCGATCGCATTAAGTGCAAACGACAAACAAAAGTTTGGTAAGAACGATAAAACAGGACATGAAATACGCATATTCGATTTCAAAAGCATTGTTTTAGCATCAGATAACTTCTCATCCACAAATAAGTTAGGTGAAGGTAGCCTTGGACCTGTGTATAAGTTAATAACTAAACATTTTTCATTGTAATGTTACCTTGGTAATGCGTAATAACGATTAAACTGAAAGGAAAAAAAATGAGGATGATTAATTGACAATAGTGTTTTTATTTTCAGGGAAGATTTCCGGATGGTCGAGAGATAGCGATCAAAAGACGTTCTAAATGTTCAAAACAAGGCCTAAGTGAATTCATTAATGAAGTTAAATTGATCGCCAAACTGCAACATACTAACTTGGTAAGACTTTATGGCTTCTGTACCGAAGGGGAAGAAAAGATGTTGATATATGAATATTTGCCCAATAAGAATTTGGACGTCTACCTTTTTGTTAAGCGAATTTTTACCTTTAAATTATAATAATGCTTTACTATCAAAATGGATATGTCATAATGTGTTCCTCAGAATTTCATTGATATAGATCACAATAATAGGATTTTATTGGATTGGAAAAGATGGCTCAATATTATCCAAGGCATAGCTCAGGGGCTTGTCTATTTACACAACTACTCAAGATTCAAAGTGATTCATCGAGATTTGAAACCAAGTAATATTTTACTTGATCATGAGATGTGTCCAAAGATATTTGATTTTGGCATGGCAAGAATATTTGAGTTGAAAGAATTTTAACAAGATAATACGAATCGAGTGGTTGGAACATAGCAAGTAAAATTCTTTTACCGATTCAATTTTTTGATAACACTTAACTGATTGATGAAATGCTAATTACTTTTCTTCCGTCATATCAATTATTATCATAGTGGGTATATGTCCCCAGAATATGCTCTTAGCTGGATTGTCTCAGTAAAAACTAATATTTTCAGTTTTGGGGTGTTGCCACTAGAGATTGTCAGTGGCAAAAAAAATGTCAATTTTGTTAAATCTGAACATTCAATCAACCTCATAGGACATGTAAGTGTATATAACATTTTTCCACCCAATATGCGTCTCTACATGTTGATTAATATACACTGAATATGAACTTGTTTTAGGCATGGAAGTTGTGGAATGAAGAAAAGGCCTTAGAGCTAGCAGATCCCTCACTAAGTGGAATATGGAATGCTGATGAATTATTGAGATGCATTCATATTGGTCTCTTATGTGTGCAAGATCAAGCTAAAGATCGACCTGATATGTTAGATGTGGTTTCTTATCTCTCTAATGAAACCATTTTATCAGCTGAACCTAAGCAACCAGCATTTTTCATTAATGCAAGAGAGAACAACGCCACATCACCTGTTAATAATATACGAGAAAATTGTTCTACCCATAATGTAACGATTTCAGGTTTCAACGGTTGATGAATTATGTGAATCTTCCCAAACTGTTAACTATTAGACATGTTAATTCCGAAAATACATTGTCAATTTCCTAATATAATTTTCATGTCTGATGACGTTCTCGTAGGCAATATATACATTATATCAATGTTATGTGGGTAGTGTAATTTAATTTTATCACTTTGATGGGATAGTTAATTAAATTAATTTCTTAACTAGATATTTTTTGGAAGAGATTCGGGGCAGTGATTTTTTTTTTGGGGCCAAAATTCGGGGCAGTGATTAGAATATCACCGTTCACCCAAAAAAAAAAAAACTGAAAAAGAATATCAGCATGCCAAAACGCAATATGCGTGTATACATAAATGAACATAAATTAGTACTTCCTACGGTCCTTAATATAAGAGCTAGTTGACTAATTTGAATAGATTAAGAAAATTGATTAAGTTAGTTATTTGTAAAAAATAGGTGTTGTCTTTCCTAAAATATTCTTACTAATCAAGTGTATTAGTTAGAACTATTATTATTAAAAGTACTATCTTGGGGAGAAAAAAAGACATATATGAGAGACAAAATGGATTGGGGTCTTATATTTATGATCAAAATAAAAGTCAAATAAGTTGTTATATTAATGATTGAAGTTTACTTGCCCTTTCTTGTCGCTTTGGGATTACTCCAAAAATTAACCGAATTAATGCAATATAGTGCACAATCCGGGTCGTATTCACTTTGAGTAGCTGAAAACGAAATTAAATCCTAGTAAATAAATGCAAGTAACCTAAACTATAAAAAGGATTTTTGATTTGAGTTTGAAAAATTGCTAACTAAATGCCTTGAATTAAATTGAAATTAAAATACTTTTTTTTTGTTATTTTCTTTTATATAAAAGATGATTGAAATAACTGAAGATGAAAGAAATGAAAATGAGACACACAAATAACACTGATGATAATCAATCCTCCAATTCAACAATGTAGGCAATCATAACTCTAAAAGATGTGGGAGTTAAAAACAATGAATTAAGAATTATAATTAAGCTTTTAATCTAACAACCGAGCCACCTCGAGTTGCCACAAAATATTTTCCTAAAATCCCAACTTACTAACTGCAACCAGAATAGTAAAATGGGATTTAGGATGCCAAAAACCAATGCTTAATTAGAACTCTTAAATCCAAAATAACAGAATTAAAGCTAACAAGAGACAATATGATCCAAAATTCTAAGCCACCTTAGAAAATCACAATATATTAACTCCAAAATCAATATAAATGTCATAACCACAACATCATAATTGAAATCAAAGCTATAAACAACCCAATGTCAAATGCTAAACAGTAATCCAGCCACAAAAATCTCCACAGATAATCAGATTTAACAATACAAAATTTTTCTAATAATCAGAATAACTATCCTAAGACCTAGGAATTGTTAAACAATTATTAGACAGGAAATTAAAACAGCTAAAACTCCCCCTTGATGATCTAAGCTCCTGCCATTGTTGTTGAATTAGAGGATTATTAAGCTCTAGCCATGGATTGCCATAAGAAATGCCACAATCAGTATTTTGCTACAGGATCCCATGGAAGAACGCAGGCGCCGTCGACTCGTGCTCGCTGGTGTTCTGGTGTTCAGCTTCCGCCGCGCCTACGTCTTCTGTTGCGCCTTCCATGTTCGTTCTCTGGTCCTTTCTCCAGTCGCGCCCAGCTTGCTCTCCGGATTGTCCTTCGTCTTCGCTCTGCCCTCCAGCCGCCTCGCGTGTGTGTTCAGCTCCGTGCGGCGTGTTCGTGTGTGTCTCCTTTGTTTTTGTTCGGCCGCCCTCCGTCTTCTCGCTGATGATGATTAATATTAGGAATATTAGGCAAAATATGACAATTTTGCCGCTATAAAATATTAATTCAAAATAAAATATATTAAATAAATTAATAATCAATTAAGGTTAAAAGACTAATTAAGTTGACAAAACCAAAATATATAAAAATACTTGAGTTTGTCAACTCCCCCACACTTAGCCTTTTGCACTTCTGGGCAAAACGTCATTAAAGAAGAATCCAATAGAGACACTCAATGCAAGCAAACATAAAACTAAGCATGAATGTGCAATTAACTCAAGCAACCTTTATTCCTAATCAATCAACAATCATAGAATACTTCAGTGCAAAGAAATTAGCACTTGAAACATAGTTGGATAAAAGAAGAGAAACATAATAGAGCTCATACAGGGTACAAGTGTTTAACTCATCTCTCAAATGGGAAAATTTTCACTCAATCCACCTAGATTAGCACCTACCATAAGCTTGTAGAAATTCTAATATCTCCACCACTAACATACCTTAGACTCATGATCAAGGGGACTTGAAGGGTTGTAATGTTGGAAAGCAAGGTCAAATAAATGAAATGAACTAGCAACTGAAATGCATGAGTAATAAAGTATCAACTCAAAGTGAGCTTAAGTACAATCATAAAAGAACACCAATATGCAGATTTTAACCTTTTGAGATAGAAATCCTTGCTCTTCAAACCACCATGGAATGCCTTATTTCAAATTTATTCTTTTGTTGCAACTTATTTTCTCTCCTTTTTTTTTTTTTATAACTTTCTTTCTTTGGCTTTTTCTAAACATTTTCTTCTCTTTCTTGCCTTTTTTCTATTTCTATTTCTTTTCTTTTTTCTTTTTTTTTTGCCATCCAAACTCAAGAAGGCAAAGATATTGACTTTAATGATGTACTTTTCAAAATGAAAAACCAAATGTAACTCATGCAAAACATTTGCTAAAAAGTAGTGAATGGAATGAAAGTGAAGGCTCAAAGGGGTGAACAAAGGTTAAATGAAGTGGTTTGTGTTTGGGTAAAGGTTTAGAAATGAATGCCCCTATCATCTTCACAAACCTAGGTATTAATGCAGCTTTGAAAAAGAATCTAAACAAGTTCTAGAGGTTAACCAAAACGAGGTGAAAATCACACAAGATGAGAAAATATATGGCTCAAAAATCCTTCCATCAAGGCTTTCTCCAAGATGTTTCCTCCTTATGGGTCAAGCTATGAAACAAGGTTAATAACACTGCACCAAAGGCATTCTACTATACTAATCAACTAAGAACAAAAACCACTCAAATCAAATGCAATCAAACTCAGCCGTACAACATTCACAAGCATTGTGCAAAAGAATTTTAAAAGAGATGGCCAAGGATTACAAAAGTTAAGTCAGCACTAGAGAAAACAGCAACTCGCCCATACAGCAGTGCAAAACACTGAGGCGAATGAAAACAGGAGGACATAGAAACTAGCAGCAAAATTCCCAAGCAAGAATCACTCTCAAATCATGCGATGCAATTCAGAAATCGACCAATAAGGCAGATAAGAGAGCAATTATAGCAGCAATACTTAGGAAACAGGAGCAAATCCAAAGGCAAATTTTTTTTTCCCCAAAAGAAAGCTCAACAACTCAACAACAATCCCTCCCCCACACTTGATCAATACATTGTCCTCAATGTTAAGATAATGTGAAATGAAAATAGACAAGTATAAATCAAGTGATCAGAAGAGATGGCAGAATCAAGAGGAAACAAAACAAACAACTACTAAACAAAAATAAACAGCTACAACTACAACTACTGGAAAAGTTCCCTCCCCCACACTTACTCCTAACTATCTCAGCAAACAGATATCACCAGCAATACAATAGAAAGTAAAAGAGTAGGGTGAAAGGGAACAACCGGGTGATCAGGGGGTCTTTGATCCTCGTGGTAGTGCTTCAGCAGATGGCCGTTGACTTGTGAAGTTATACCGGTCTCTTCATCTACGAGCTCTACCGTGCCAAAGGGATATACTTTAGTAACTCTAAACGGACCTTCCCATTTGGTGACAAACTTCCTGGGCATCAGCTTCGACCGGGCTTTAAACTTTAGAACCTTGTCACCTTCATGAAACTGCTTCCTCAGAATCTGTCTATCATGAATCATTTTCAGTTTGTCTTTGTAGATTCTGGCATTGTTGTAGGATTCAAGTCTCATTTCTTCAAGTTCCTGGAGTTGCATCTTTCGATTGACAAGTGAAGATTCGAGATCTGCATCACATGCCTTGATTGCCCAATAAGATTTGTGCTCGATCTCCATAGGTAGATGGCAAGTCTTGCCATAGAGCAACCGGAAGGGGGACATGCCTATAGGGGTCTTGTAGGCAGTCCTGTAAGCCCAAAGAGCTTCCTCAAGCCTTTCACTCCAGTCCTTACGGATGGTTTCACGATCTTCTCAAGTATTCGCTTCACTTCTCGGTTAGAGACTTCAGCTAACCCATTCGTCTGAGGGTGATAAGGAGTGGCAGCTTGTGATTGACTCCATGTTTAGCCAATAGAGACTTGATGGTCCTGTTGCAGAAGTGTGTTCCTTGGTCACTGATGATTGCTCTTGGAATGCCATACCTGCAAAAGATATGAGAACGTAAAAACTTGGCAACAGTAGAAGCATCATCTTTCCTAGTTGGCACTGCCTCTACCCATCAGACACATAATCTACTGCAAGTAATATGTATGAAAACCCAAAAGACGAAGGGAAGGGACCCATAAAGTCCATGCCCCACACATCAAAGATTTCACAAAAATGCATAGGTCTTAGAGGCATCTCATGCTTCCTACCCAAACTCCCAAACCTCTGACACTTATCACAAGACTTGCAGAAAGAATAAGCATCCTTAAATAGAGAAGGCAATAAAAACCACACTCTAAAACCCTCCTAGCAGTCCTATTAGCACTAAAATGCCCCCACAGGATAAAGAATGTGCAAAGGTAAGGATAGAGTGGATCTCATTATTTGGAACACAGTGTCTGATGATCTGGTCACTGCATTGCTTCCACAGGATTGGAGCATCCCAGATATAGTATCTTGCCTCCCTCTTCAGCTTATCAATCTGAAATTTAGACATAGAAGGAGGTATAAGGTCAGTGACAAGATAATTAACTATATTAGAGTACCAAGGCTCATGAACAGCCAAGGCAAAAAGTGCAGAATCAGGAAATGAGTCAATAACAAGATCAGAAGAGTCAACTCCCTGTGTGCCTTCAGGTAACCGACTAAGGTGGTCAGCTACATGATTCTCCGCTCCGGCTCTATCTCTAATCTCGATATCAAACTCCTGTAGCAGCAAAGCCCATCT